AAATGTAACCCCCTCCCCCATTTCCAAAACTTTACCCCTACCATAGAAATAAAGCGTTTTCGTCTCTCATCGTTACCAACTATTTGAGAAAAGTTTAGGAATGTTTGATGAGGTGAGTATCAAGTTACTTGCTCCCAGATTCCATTTGAATGATGCCAGGTTCCATAAGCAGCTACAACTCCACTTTTGTTGCATACAAATGCAGTGATGGAAACTATAAAACAAAACAGAACAAAACAAAAAACAGGTTAAAACCAACTATTTAGTGGCATTGTGTGTGTGTGTGTGTGTGTGTGTGTGTGTGTGTGTGTGTGTGGGCAGGCAGCTAGGTGGCACAGTAAATAGAAGGCCTGGTGTCAGGAAGACTCATGTTTGTGAATTCAAATCTGGCCTCAGACACTAGTTGAGTGACACTGGGCAAATCCCTTAACACTGCCTCAGTTTTTTCATCTGTAAAATGAACTAGAGAAGGAAATGGCAAACCACTTCAGTATCTTTGCCAAGAAAACCCCAAATGGGGTCATGAAGAGTCTGACATGGCTGAAAACAGCTGAAGAACAACAAATATGAGTGTGTATGTGTAAATACGTGCATATCTACACATATACGTATATGTATATATGTGTATGTATATATACACACACATAGATAAACATTTAGATGATGTTAATGATACTCATAATCTATATTAAATGAAGCAAATGAAGAAACATTTAAGTTCTCATATCCCAATAGGAGGAAGACAGTATTTTAGGATAGTTCCATGGCAAGAGAAAATCAAAAAACTCAGAGTCCTTAGGGTCTGTCATAAGGGCCTGCCCTGGGATCTGGAGGGGTGCAGCAGCCAGGCAGATGGTAAAACCCTGTTGGACTTAATTGTACTGACAGAATTGTAGTTGGTGACTCCTTTCTTATCTAACCAGTGAATAGTCTTCTCTACCCTGACAGCTAGTGGGGATGGAGAGGGCCAGGTCTACACCTGTAGGGATAGGGTAGATGCAGGGAAGGTTAAAGAGAAAGGGAGCATTGGCAGAAAGATAAGGAGGGAAAGGAGATGAAACTTGGGATTCCAAGGCAGTGGACCAGGGCTGGGGTTGAGCTTTTCTTGGCCTGGTCTGGTCTCTGCCTTCCAGGTTGACAACACTGTCTTTTGGAGTAATGGAATGAGTATTGAACTTGGAATCAGGAAGAGCCATGAAGAGGTGCTTATCATGCTGTATACCTTTATCCACTTCTTTTAAATACCAGTGTAACCCTTGGACTCTCTTATTCCTTGATTTTCCTTCTCCTCCTTCTTGTGTCAATGTGTCATCTTAGGATGATAGGATCGTAGGTTTAGAGGTACTTCAAAGACCCTAGAGAACCAGAGGTTCCTGAACTTATTTGGCCTACTGACCCCTTTTATTTATTTTTTGGCTAGGCAATGGGGTTAAGTGACTTGCCCAGGGTCACACAGCTAGTAAGTGTCAAGTGTCTGAGGCTGGATTTGAACTCAGGTCCTCTTGACTCCAGAGCTGGTGATCTATTCACTGTGCCACCTAGCTGCTACAATACCGCCCCCTTTTTAAAAAAATTACTCAGCTCACCCCTGGAAATCTACTTTTCATAACCCTTTGGTTTTTTTTTTTAATTTGAAATTTGCATCATTTAAAATATCTATAAAATTTTTTTTAAAAGACATCTTAAATTTAATAATTTATTGTAAATTTGTGGGTTTTTTCTTACATTGAAATTTTGATGACACAGTATTGTGTCATGTAACCAGTAGTATTGTACTATAAAAAAGTCATTACGTGCACATGTTCCTGCCGATGCATGCTGGACTTCCTAAACATGTTCACCTGCCAACACTTGCTTGTTAAGAACTGTCATCGGACTTGACCACTGATTGGTTATAACTTGCATTTTATGTGTTTACTTGGAAAATAATATAATCACTACAACTTTAATTCTGTTACACAACAGATGAAACATGTACAAATGGTTTTTCAAAATTTTCTCATCTTTTCTTTCCTTATGCTTCCACTGCCCCCTTATTTTTATTCAACACCCCCCCCCATTGCACCCAAGGCTACTACAACCCCCTACTCTCCCCCACCCCAATCATTCCAGTTTGGGAACCTTTGCCCATCTACCACCACATTCTTATCTTTAGCCTTCTACTTGAATGTTTTGGTTTTTGCTTTAATGAATCTGTCACATGCCTGTATACAAAGGTGATTCAAAAATGAGGCCCACATTGGTAACCAGTTGCTTCCTATCTGTTAAAGATTGATCAGTTTGGTGCTTGCCATGCTCTTTCCAAATCTTTTCTCAAAAAAGAATTCATGTAATAAAAGCATGACATTTCTGAACAGTTTATACTCCTTTAGTTATTTATAAATAGTACTGTGGTCGGAGCATTGGACCTGGTATTAGAAAGACCTAGTATAAATCTGGACTTAGATACTTAGCAGCTGTGTGTACCTGGGCAAATCACTTTAGCTCTGTTTGCCTTAATTTCCTTAACTGTTAAATGAAGATAATAGCAGCTACCTTCTAGAGTTGTGCCTGGCACATAGTAGGTGCTTTAAAAATGCTTATTCCCTAACTCCCCCACCCCCGATGTTACACATCCCAGCGGGGATCTCCCAAATTATTGTCAATTGGGATGTTGGGAATTTGTCATCCACAAGGCCAAAGAACTGGATCCAGGACACAAGCAACCTGTTTTAATCTGATAGTTTAGTTAAACTATCCTGAGGCAGTGGCTTTTTCTTGCTACCACCTTAGGCTGTATTTGAATTGCTGCCAGTGAGGTAAAATATAGGAAAATATAGTGGCATTATTAATAAACATTGCTTAGTCATTCTGAAGAGTGGATATTATGATTTAGAAAACATTTCTTGGCTTGATAAATGCAACAATGCACCATATTGGACTTATCAAATATGGGAAGGGGGAGGATTGTAAGAATTCCAGGGGGTTGATGCCTCATTTCACTTTATGATGTTTTTGGAGCTGTTATAGGATTTTTTAAAAAATGTTTTTACAAAGTGGGGATAAGTTGTTTATTTGACTCTCCTACCCATTCTCCCCGCCCTTTCCCTCCTTGTGCTGGACAGAGAGGAGTCATGGAATCTCAGAGCAGTGGAGGCCCTTAGGGGTCATCTGGTCCAACTCCTGAATGAGAATATTCTCCAGTACATCCCCATGGGATCATCCAGATTCCACTTGAGATCCTCTAGTGATGGGCGTACTCCCCGGTGTAGCCCATTCCAATTTTGTTTAGCTCTCATTGCTGAAAAATTTTCCCCTAAATTAAACCAAAATCTGTCTCTCAGCAGCTTCCACCCATTACTGGTAGTTCTGCACTCCTGGGCCAAGAAAAACAAATCTCTCTGTCATGTGACAGTCATTCTGACATATATAGACTGGTAGCCTTTTCTTTACCCAGCTCCCAGTTCGATTCAGTTTAGCCATGGTTTTAAGTCTTAGCTCAGTCATCCTCCTCTAGAGTCATTTAGGTGACACAGTGGATAGAGCACAGGATCAAGGACAACTTGACTTGAAATCTGGCCCTGGCGCTTACTAGATACCCTGAGCAAGTTACTTAACTACTGTCTGCCTCAGTTTCCTCAGCTGTAAAATGGAGATAATAATAGAACCAACCTCTCAATGTTGTTGTAATGACAAATGAGATAACATTTGCAAAAAGTGCTTAGCACAGTGCCCGGCATTTAGTAGGTACTTAATAAATGCTTATTCCCTTATGCATCATGGGTTCTAAATCTGAGGTCTGTGGACTTAAAAAAATTTTTTTTTCTATTTTGATAATTGTCTTTCAATATAATTGATTTCCTTTGTAATCCCACGTGTTTTATCTTATACATTTAAAAATTATCCTGAGAAGGATCCTTGGGTTTTACCAGATAACCAAAGAGGTCCATTACCTTAAAAAAAGGGTGAAAAATTTCTGATCTAGACATTCTTCAGCTAATTGATGTTTTTCCTAAATGTGGTGCCCAGAATTGAGCACAAGATTCCAGATGTGGTCTGGACCAGGACAGAGTCCTGCCAGACTAACTTGTCTTCTCTTCTCCATTATACTTTTGTTAATGCAGCAGAGATCACATTAATTTTTTTGGGAGGAGGAGCTTTCATTCACTCTTTAAATGAGGTAATCTGTAGAATATTTTTATTCAGAATCTATTTTGTTTAGTGCAAAGAAAACTAGAAAGGGAACCAGGAGGTTCTATATGTGTGACTTTGATCAAGTGTTTTAGCTTGTCTCAGCCTCAACTACCTGATTTGCAAAATAAGGAGGTAGGAAGGTTCCTTTCAACTCTAAAAATTCTGAATAAATCTTGGGGAGAAGGCAAAGGGTGGTGTAGGGTAGCATATACTTATTTTTACTGCTATAATAACAGTGTGATGTCACAGAGAGGGCTCCAAACCTGAAGTCAGGAAGACCGAGCTTCAGATCCTAGCTCAGGGATATTCTAGCTAATAAGTGGCCTTGAGGAGCTCACTAATTCTCTTTGTTGTACCTCAGTTTTCTCATCTGTAAAAATAAGTGGGATGGACTAAATGGCATCAAAAATCCTTTCCTGCTCTAAATCTATAATGCTGTAATCTGGGTTAATCAGATTTTTTTTTAATTGAATGAGAAAACATTTCTACATACAAAAAAAAGGGAACATTTCCATATACAATACATAACAAATGAGATAATTACATATAAAACCACAAATCTCTCTTGGGCAGGGGAAAACAAGTTATCCCAAAAGTCTTATTGCAGTTTTAAATTATTAAAGTTATTAAAGGTTATAACTTTATTAACCCTTTTGGGACATCCTGTGTAATAAATTCAACGTGGTTTTTTTTTGGTAAGGCAAATTTCAAAGAGATCAACAAAAACTCTGCTTTTCTATGTTATTAATATCTTTATAAATTGTGTTTCAGTATGAACGCAGAATGAATCTTTTTTTTAATTATAAGTCATTCTCTTTTTTTTGTAGCCTCTTTTTTTGGTGAAAGTTTTGTGGAACTGAACATCATAGAAGCTTCTCCAGACTTATCCCTTCACTTAAAATTTCAGACCAGCAAACCACATGGATTACTTTTTCTAGCAGCTGGAAAAGATGATTATTGTGCAGTGGAACTCATTTCAGGAAACCTACGGGTGCATTTCTTTAAAATATTTATATTTTATATATCTATATGTAATATGATGAATATATATTATATATAATCTTTTTATTTATCTGCATATAGCATAATGAATACATTAGATATAATCAGTTGTATTTGTTATATAACCTAATGAATATATATTATATAATAAACATTTATATTTCCATATATAACATAATGAATATATGCTATAGATAAAACATTTATATTTATTTTATATAAAACATAATGATATAGAGTATGTAAAATAAATATTTGCATTTATGTATATATAGCAGGACAGTTAGGTGACATAGTGGATAGAGTACTGGTCCTGCAGTCAGGAGTACCCCAGTTCAAATCCAGCCTCAGACACTTACTAGCTGTGTGACCCTGGACAAGTCACTTATCTTTGTTTGCCTTAGTTCCTTATGTGTAAAATGAGCTGGAGAAGGAAATCACAAACCACTCCTGTATCTTTGCCAAGAAAGTCTCAGATGGAGCCATGGAGAGTCTAACATGACTGAAATGACTCAGCAGCAACCACAATAAAATGTGAACCATCAATATGTATAATAAATATGGAAGACATAATGGATATAGTATATATAATAAATATATTTATATGTATTCATAAATATGGCGTACACAGTGTGGGTTGCTTAACATAACTTTTAAGGGGAACAATCATGGAAAAAAGAAAACAAAAATTATTTAATTATTCTCATGAAAATAGGAGCTAGGTGACACAGTGTATAGAGCGCTGGACTTGGAGTCAGAAGGACCTGAGTTCAGATCCAGCCTCAGACACTTTGTGACTCTGGTAAAGTCACTTAACCATTGCCTACCTCAGTTTCCCCATCTATAATAGCACCTGCCTCCCAGGATTCTTGGGAGTAAAAAATGAGATAATATTTGTAAAGCTCTTTGGAAACCTTAAAGCATTATAATAAATGCTAATTATTGTTATTATCATCATCATTATTATTATATACTGACTTTAATATTCATAGCACCATCTACTTTTACCAACCTATCTAAATAGTTATAACTCTAAAGTGTGGCCTTACCTCACTCACCATTTAGGTTATAAAAATGGGAGCCTTACAGTAGCGTCCAGTTTTATTGCACTCTTTTTATAAAAAGGCTCTGTATGCTCAGTGTCCAACTGTAAATATAAATATATAAATATTAATACAGAGATGTGATTGGGTAACCCTAGTCTCCTTTTTTCCAGGTGAGAGTGAATTTGGGTGCAGGTGAATTAGTGCTACTCCATTCTCAACAAAAATCACGCCTGGATGACTTGGCTTGGCACGTGATTGATTTACATCATGCAAGTGATACTGTCACTCTGGTTGTTGACAATCTCTATAGGACCAGTGGGATAATATCAGGGAGGATACACGGATTGAATATTCAGCAAGGAATCTATGTTGGGGGGAGCGGCAGTCTTGATGTTCCTTACTTGGAAAGAGGATGCTCTAATTTCCGAGGATGTATGGAGGATGTGATATTTAACCAGCGTGAGATTCTGAACTCCCTCAGGTCTTACCCTGGATTTAAGAAAGTTCATGAGGTGTCATTGGGATGTAGTGATGAATTCTTTGCAGGTGAAGATGAAGCTGTCAATTTCTTTAGCTCCAAATCTTATGTCACTTTCCCAGGGTGCAACACCAAGAGAGAAGGACTCTGGGAATTTACTTTTCAGACTGGAGCTGACCAGGGTTTGCTTCTCTATCAGTCTGGAAGATCAGGGGACTTTGTTGCTTTGCAAATAGAAGCTGGATTCATTAAGGCACATGTTGGAAGGAATCAAAATAAAACTGAGCTTCCTTCCCTTAGCTTAATTAGCGACAATGAGTGGCACTTTGTTCAACTCCAGTTCACCAGGAGGTATTTCAGCTTGCTGGTTGATGAAGAAAGAGTCCAAATATCCCTGCCTCTACACAGCAGGGCATTTGAATGTAAAGATCCACTCTTTGTGGGAGGTGTTGATAACAGTGCCTGGGCAGAAATAAAGAAGTTAAAGTTTACCCCAGTTTCTAGGAAATCTGCCAGAGGTGGCTCCTTCAAAGGCTGCTTAAGAGGCCTGAAGGTTAACTTGGAAGAGCTATCGCTAAAGAATGCCCTTGTTTCCAAAGATATTTCAGCTGGATGTAATACTAAAAGTGGCGTTGTTTCAAATATTCCTGTAGCAATGACTGAAAAAATGACACTTCAGACAACAACTCCCTCTTTTAGCGCTCTCCCTGAAAGATTCAAATCTTCCCTTCAGAAGGACAGCAGTAATTTCTTGGCTTTGAATAACTTGGTAGTTCAGGAAGGTGGACAAGCCCCAGTTGAAAGTAAACATATTTGGGTGAATTTGGAATTTAAGGAATTAGAAATTCATCATTCCCAAGTCCTGTTTCAAATTAAGGAAAAACCTATTCATGGAGATTTGAGATTAAATGGTGCACCTGAATCCCAGGTAAAAGCAACTTTTACAATGATAGATTTGTGGCAAGGAAGGGTTATATATGTCCATGATGGCTCTGAGAGCACCAGAGATCACTTTATATTCTCTGTTTCTATCAGCAAGGAGAAGGAAATTCCTTTCCATCTGCAAGGAAATGATCAATATGTGTTTAACATTACCATCAGTCCAGTAAATGACCCCCCAGAGCTCTCCCTTCCAGAAGGAAATTTGCTTCTCCTATTAGAGAACTCCAAAAAGCGACTGACGTCTAACATGATAGAGGTATTGGATCCAGATACTAACCCATTGGACCTGACTTTTTCAGTACTTGGAAACTTCAATGCTGATACTGGATATTTAGAAAACTCTAAGCATCCTGGAAAAATAATTAATACGTTTACAAATGAGGATTTACAACATGGAAGAATTTTCTATGTGCACCGTGGGCCCCAGAATTCCCGTATTGTTCTGCGAATAAGTGATGGGGAGTTGGTTAGTAATACAACTGTATTACGAGTCAAGGCCATCCCTTGGGATTATGAAGTGGTAAACAACACTGGTGTGACTGTTCAACAGGGCAGCATGGTTCTGATTACTCAGAGCAACTTGTCAGTACAGATTAATGCTGGGGAGCAGGAGATGGAGATACGGTATGAGATTATCCAACATCCTCTTTTTGGTCAGATTCAAAGACGAAGTTCCAATGGGGAATGGAAGCTTGTCAACACCTTTTCTCAACGTTCTATTGATCGAGATCGGGTGAGGTACTATAGTACCTTTAAAGAATCACAAGGGGAAAATGTCACCGATCATTTTACATTTAAAATTAGCATTGAAAATAAAGTGAGTGAAGAACTGATATTTCCCATAGCCATACAATGGCTGAAGTATAGATTGGTGAAAAACAGTCCCCTCAATATTGATACAATGGTTAAAAAAATGTTGACTTCAGATCACTTAATGGTTAGGATGGAGAGTATGAAGGCACTTGAGAGCGAGCTTTATTTTAAATTACTCTCCCTGCCTAAGAAAGGAAAACTGCTGCTTGGCAGAAGTGTTTTAAAACTAAACTCCACCTTCAGCCAAAAAAATATTATAGATAATGAAGTTGCTTATGAACTAGTGGAGAGGCCACAGGAAAACACACAAGATTCATTCAGATTCTTGATTTGTACCAACTATATAGAATCAAAGGTTTATATCTTCACAATAAATATCAGAGCAGATCACAATCACATTATTTTAACCAACAAAGGATTTTCTGTAACTGAAGGGGAAGGGAAGTTAATCACCAAAACAGAATTATTTGTGCAAACTTTGAGTAATCAGGTTTTCCATTATAAAGTCACCAAGAGCCCTCACCATGGGAAGCTGAAACTTATTAACTCTTCAGATTCACTGGAAAGTAATGACAACATAACTACTTTCACCAACCAGGATATCATTGGTGAACGTTTAATGTATGTCCACGATGACTCTGAAACTGTGTGTGATGAATTCATCGTTAGGGCATCTGCCAAAGGAGCAGGAGATGAGGAGATCAGGGTGGGTCCCGAAATGAAAGTAAATATTTCTGTGAAACTAAAGAATGATGAGAAGCCTGTGCGTGTGGTGGATACAGTATTTCATGTGGTAAGAAATGGTCAGCGCTTATTGACCTTGATGGATCTTTGTTACCATGACCCCGATTCAGATTTTAACGATAGGCAGTTGGTATACACCAGGCGGGGCATTCCAAATGGTGATCTGGTGTTAGCTAGTGATCCCAGCCAAAAGCTCTACCAGTTCAAACAAGAAGACCTAGAGGAAGGGTGCATTCTGTTCAGGCATCACGGCGCAGACTATGCCCGATTTGTGCTGCTTGTCACAGATGGCACCCACTACACATCCTCCCTTTTAGAGGTCAGTGCTTCGGAACCATACGTGTGGATAGCCAACAACACAGGATTGCTTGTGCTAAAAGGAAGAGAAAAAGCTCTCACAACTGCTAACCTTAGTGTTACCACAAATCATGACATCAGAAGTGACACAGAGATCAAGTATGAGATCTTTTTGCTTCCAAAGTATGGTAGAGTCTTGGTGAAAAATAGACCATCAACTTCATTTTCCCAGAATGACTTGAAGCAAGGACATGTGATTTACAGGCATGATGACAACCACCACCTTGCCGATGTGTTCAACTTGACTGCAAAAGTTAAAGAGACACACTTGAATGTTGGGATTCGGGTCCAGGTGTACTTGGAAAGCCACCAACATCCCCCTAAAGTTGTTCACAGCAAGAAGCTTTTAGTTGAAGAAGGAAAATCAGTGAAACTCAGTAGAAGAAAGCTTCAGGTATGTTTAGAGTACATGGGTACATGCTTATATCCTTTACAGAATGACTCAGGGAATCCATAACACCAACCATGCTCATTGTCCCACGGCCACTGGGACTGGTCTCATAGGCATATTTTCATGTGCCTATGAAAGATGTTAAACTCCAATTAACTTTATTAAAAAAAACTTTGCATAGTAAATTTACTCTGGATTTCTGAAAGTTTTTTTTCCTATCATATTTATTTAAAATTACAACAGTTTACATTAGAAACAACCTCAAACAATTAAGGTAAAAGATAAATAACTGAACACAGCTTAATTTAACAAAATGCAAACATACATCTCTCATTGTTCCGTTATCTGTTAAGAGCCTTATAATTGCACAGTGCTCCAAATAACTCTCGTCCTGAAGCTATGACCTTTAGGAAGGAAAGAGTGTCATATAGGTTTGATGAGAAAGTTCCAGGTTCTCAATATTGTTCATTTGGGGAGTTTTCCCATTATTGGAAAGAGATGAGATTCCTAAGAAGGAAGGGAATACTTATCAAGGTATTTTTATTTAGGTTTGATGGCACCATAATTCATTTTGTCTCAAGATACATTGATGTAACAACTCCGTGTTTAAAAACTTAGATCCATTTAAGAAATTTGAATTTTTCTAAAATTTCTAAAAATAGCTGTAAAAATAACATAATTTCTCTTCTTAGTTAGGCATCCACAAAATGTGATGTACAGAGCTCTGAAGTTTGACCGATTCAGGATTTTCCATACCATCAGAGCAGAAGGACATTAGAAAGATGAAAGCTCTGTGCCGCAGGAAGGAAGTTTTCCACTTCTTGCCACTAATATTTGAGGATTAGCAGGCACATCCCTGCTGCTCACAGTTAAAAGATTATATAAGGAACTGTAAAAGCTGCTTGAAGCTAGAAATCTTTAAGAGCTGTGATTTGCAAGAGATGACAATGAAAACAGGCAGTTACTCATCTCCTCTAAGTCCCTGGGTTCAAATCCCACTCCTAACAAAGACAATTTGGGTGACCTTGGTTAAGTCACTCAAGTCTCATTTTCATCATCTGGAAAATGAGAGGATTGTACTGGCTTCTGAGGTCGCACCCCCCCCCCCCCAGCTCTATAGCTATAATCCTCTGCATACAAGTTTTATTGTAAGGCAAGGGGAAATGGAATAGTGAATAGAGAATCCTAGTCCAAGCAGTTGACTGAATCATAAGTTTAGAATAAATGGATGCAGTGCGTAGGAGTTCTTGCCAGTTCTTTCTGAATTTTTCTGCACCTTTTATTAGTGACATTTACATAACCACCACCAGGGGTCTCACATGGATCACCATGATCGAATCCAGTTAGTTATTACCTAAGAAGCAAGTTTTACTTTCATATTAAATTTTTTTAAAAAATTTGAGTACCTACTAGCAAGTTTTTAATAAATATTTTAGCAAATATTTATTGAAATTGAATAAAAAGAATAATAAGGCTTGATCCCAGTTTTTAGGGAATCATAGAATCATGGATTTATTATTTTTTTTTAGTTAAATTCAATTCATTAAACATTTACTAAGTGCCTAATTTGTGCCAAGTACTGCGCTAAGAACTGAGGATACAAAATGAAGCAAAAGACAGTCCTTGCACTCAAGGAGCTTGCAATCTAGAAGGAGAGATAATATACGAAACAAAACTATACAAAGCAAACTATATACAGGATAAATAGGAAGTAATTAAAAGAGGGAAAGCACTGGAATTAAAAGGGGTTAGGGAAGGCTTCCTGTAGAAGGTGGGATTTTAGTTGGGACTTAAAGGAAGCCAAGGAGGTGAGTAGGAGTAGAGGAGGGAGAGTGTTTCAGGCGTGGGGGACAACCAGCCTAGAGATGGAGTGTATCATTCGTGGAACAGCCAGGAAGCCAGAGTCACTTGGGGACTAAGGTATGGGAAGACCAGGAGGGTGCTAGGTCATGAAGGGCTTTGAATGCCAAACAGACCATTTTGTATTTGCTTCTGGGGGCAATAGGGGAGTCACTGGAGTTTATTGAGTGGGAGCATAACTTGACTTCAGAGCTTACACTTTGTGCCATGGATTTTGTGTGAAAAGAAGTATCAGATATTTCTTTCTTTTTTTTCTTTTGAAATAATTGAGAAAAAGGTTAGGGACAGCTTTGTGAATCTGTAGTTTCCTCCAGTCATGCATAGGGCTTTGAATAGATTGGATTAGATCTTCCATAAATGTTCTTGACTGACTGCGTTATAAGTTAACCCATATGATCATAGATTTAGAGCTGGGAGGGACCCCTCAGAGGCCATCCAGTTTAACCTTTTTTTAAAAAAAAATGGATAAAGAAACTGAGGCCCAGAGAAATTGTGCCCAAGGTCATAGAGAGAAAAAGCAGCAAAGCTGGGATGGGTGCCTAGTTAAAGAATCTGCCTCCTATCTCCATTTTAATGTGATTCTTTTCTCTGTGTATGTTTTTGTGAATATCTGCATGTGAGGCTGTACATGAAAATAACTCTCCATCCGAGATAGTGTTCATCATTAAGAGCCCCCCGGTCCATGGACAGCTCCGAAAATTTGTCCCAGAAGATTGCTTGGATGCTGATGAGAATTCTCCTTTGTCATTTACACAACAAGATATAGCTGATGGTTATATCCATTATGAGCATACAGCTTTTGGCCAACAGCAAGATCGCTTTTTGCTGGATGTGACAAATGGTGTCCAAGCCATCAGTGGTGTAGAAATCATGGTGGATATTATCCCTAGGCTGATTCCTTTGGTCATACAGAACTTCACGGTACAAGAAGGTGGCTCCAGAGCCCTTTTAGAGGACTTCCTTAAAATTCCAAATCACCATTTTGTAGGAATTGACTGTGAATTTGTCCTAATTGAATCACCAAAGCATGGTTATATTGAAAATTCTCATTTTCCAAGAATAAAACTAATGAAGTTTACCAGAAAACAGGTAAGGACCTTCTGGGACGATCTCTGTCCATGTTAGGGGGAGGGTGAGAATTTTTTTTTTATATAATTTATCATTTAAGTGAGAATTAAGATAATTCTTTGTTGTGACTGTAATCTGTTTCTTATATCAAAGTCCTAAAAATCAGTAACCTCAGACATTGATTTCTGGTCATGTCTTTGCAGCTCAGTTACTGTCTGCCTAGCCTCTGGCTTTCATTCCTTGGTTCTTCCTTTAAAACCAAAGCCTAGATAATTGGGTTTGTATATTCAGGTAGTTGTGTTTCACCGTAGTTGAATGAATTTTTCTTATAAAATATTCTTTGTAGAATCTAAGTTGACTGGCATCCTTTTTCTGTCTTTGTATCTCTAATGCTTAGCATAGTACCTGACATGTAGTAAGCAGGAAATACTTGTTTAATTGAATGTAGGTAGAATAGTTCCTAGTAGGAGCAGCTAGGTAGTACAAGTAGATAGAGCACTGGGGCTTAAAGTCAGGAAGACCTATCTTAATGAGTTCAAATCCAGCCTCAGACACTTAATAGCTGTGTGACCTGGGCAAGTCATTTAATCTTTTTTGCCCCAGTCTCCTTCTCAGATGATCTGGAGAAGAAAATGGCAAACTACTCCAGTATCTTTGCCAAGAAAATCCTAAATGGGGTCACAAAGAGTTGGACACAACTGAACAACAGGTCCTAGTAACAAATAGGAGTACCATTAGTTACTCCTCTTTCCAGTCTCATCCCTACCTCTTCCTCTGTAGGAGCTGCCCTTAATATCTAGTTCTGAAGCATTTGTAGCTTCAATTTCAGTGATTCAAGTAACCTTAGGAACCTTACTGGATGTGTTTTCAGAGAATTGGAACAGGGGAGGCTCTGGCTGCCCCCTTTTGTTGAAGAGAATTATTGGTAGGACTGGAGGGGAAACATTTGTGAAGTTTTTTATGTTAATTTCCTAGAGTTTTCCTCAGTTTTATTAAAACTTCTGTGCTAGCATACTTTCCAATGGTTAAAAGAAACATTTTGACAAATATAAATTCACTTTAATAATCTAGTTACTATTAATGAATTTGTACCTTTGGTCTGCTAAGAACTGTGGTAGGTGTTTGAGGGCCCCTGCCCTCAAGGACCTTAAAATCTAGCTGGGAGGTAAAATGTGTACACAACCAAAGCACAAGAATAATACAACAAATAATTAACTGAAGTATAGGGTGCTCTGAGAATTCAGAATGAGGGAGAAATTGTCTATGGCTAGGTGCAAAGAGGGAGGGCTCCCTGAAGGTCCTGGGATTTGAGTAGGTCATCAAATTGAGTTGAGTAGAACAACAAATGGGAGCCAGATTATATTTTTAAAAATGGCATTGAATTGGGAAACCAGGCTTTTTTTTCTCCGTGAAGCACATTTTATCTCCCCAAATGAATTTATATAATACCTCTGTAGAAGAAGCAACATTTCCCCTTTGAGACTCTTCATATGTATTTCATTGTTGAGTGTGTGTATGTGTGTGTGTGTATGTGTGTGTGTGTGTGTGTGTGTGTGTGTGTGTGTGTATAAATACCCTTGGAAACAAATAATTTGAGTCAAAGGAAGTAACTTGAACACACATGAAAAACAAATAGGAGCTGGGGTTGTTGAGCTGCTAAAGTATTTCAGCCTTTTTAATGAAAACAAGCAAATCCTCCATAGCGTGGCTTTACCTTCTTTAAAAGTTAGCTGTGTTAGCTGGCTTTGATAGACTCTTTGTCAGCCTATCAAATTCGTAGACTGTGAAGGTGCTGAAAAGCACAAATCATTGAAGTTCAGTTTTTGACTCTGGATTTTTAAAAAATCAGTGATATTAATAAAGATATAGAAAGTGTTTAGCAGATTTACAGATGTCACACATTGTTGTTATTTTGGATTTTGATAGGGTAGGACAGTGGACCCAAAAGATCAAAATATAACTTTCCTAGATACAAACACATCTGTAAAACATTAGAGAAGAGTAATATTGACTCAAAAAACAGTCAAAAGAAAGTTCCGGAGAAAACACACCTTGGTATGATCTTGGTATGAGATCATCCCTCAAAGCATGATTGATGGAAATAGGGCACCAAATGAAGATGAAAAAGGAATAGATCTGCCAATGTTTATATAAGATATACATGCAGATAGATCTACCAATGTTATATATATTATATACATTTATTATTTAATGTATTTATACTAATTTTATAATTGATTTATAATGATATAATCATAACATAATATAATTATATGATTAATATGTTTATATTAATATATTATGTATTGTTATGTATATGTACATATTTTTAGTCTGGACCTGGCATTAAGGAATTTCCGATGCTGAAGTTTCTTTCTCCAATGACAATCAGCAACAGGTCTTCAAGAACAGTCTTGGAGAGTACCCTAGGGTATTAAGAGGTTAGGTAATGTGCCCACAGTCATGCACCAACTGTGTGTCAGGGGTAGGACTTGAACCTGGATATTTCTGGTTCTAAGACTGACTCTTTCCACATTATGCCTCTTTAGATAAAATTTAGCAGAGATAAAAATGTTAAGTTGTGTATTTTAGTTCCAAAAGTCGGTTGCACAAATACAGGATGTAGAAGGCTTAGTTTGGTAGCTGTGGCATTTTCACTGACCACAGGCTAAATATTAAGCAATAGCCTGCTGTGAATGTTTAAAAAAAGGTTATTAATGAAACTTTTAAAAAATACACAGAGGAAATAAAAATGGGGTTCAAAGGGGAATACAGATAAGCAGACAAGTATTGTTACTACCACATTATATTTAATCTAGATTTGTAATTTCATGTGCAGTCATCATTTTCTTAGGGCAAATGATCATATATCAGTGGTTTGAAATGTGACTTTTGATCAAAGATAAAAAAATTTCATTATATTCTGAACTGGTCAGGGCCCATCTAGAGCAGAGGTGTCCAACTCGGGCACTGGGGAACTAGATGAAAATGTAATTGAGAAATGTTTAACAATAACAACAACAACAGAAAATATACATCGCAACATAGATAATATTAATTTGTGGTTTCCTAAGCCAATATCTGGCTTATAGGAATCTGTTTATATTTGAGTCTGATACCACTAATCTAGAGCATTCTTTGATTCTTGATTCATTGATTCTTTGTGTCCCCCTTGATGAGGGAGATCAGCAACAGTAGCATTTCTCAGGGATGGCAGGCATAGTGATGAGAGAATCTGGGAAATGTGATGTAAGAAATGGTAGAGAGAACTGAGGAGGAGAAGAATTATGAGAGATGTGGCAGGTGTTTAGGGTTTTCATATGAAAGATGGTGTGGAATGACTTGGAGTTGCTTTAGAGGCTAACCCTAGTACCAATGTGTAGTTGTTAAAGGGAGAAGATTTTATTTTTGTTTTCAGTTCCAAATTCTCTCCCTCTGTACATCCCCTCCTTCACCTATTGAGAAGGCAAGAAATAGCCTTTATGTGTGTGAAGTAGTATAAAAGTTATTTCTAGGGGCAGCTAGGTGGTGCAGTGGATAGAGCACTGGCCCTGAAGTCAGGAGGACCTGAGTTCAAATCCGGCCTCAGACCAAACACTTGACACTTACTGTGTAACCCTGGGCAATTCACTTAATCTCAATTGCTTAAAATAACAAAACAAAACAAACAAACAAAACAAAAAACACCTATTTCTACATTAGCTGGATTCTGGGTGAAAAAAGGAAAGAAAGGAAAAAACACACACTTCCATCTTCACTCTGAGTCTATCAGTTCTCTATCTGGAGATATTGCATTTTTCATCATGAGTTCTTTGGACTTTTGGTAGATCATTGTATTTATCTGAGTTACTAAGTCTTTCACAGGAGATTATATTTATAATATTGCTGTTAGGATATAGAGTGCTCTCCTGGTTCTGCTCACTTTGCTTTGCAGCAGTTCATATAAGGTCTCCCAGGTTTTTCTGAAACCATTCTTAAAGGGAAAATATTTCAACATTTGTTATTCAGTCATTTCAGTCATGTCTGACTCTTTGTGACCCCATTTGAGGTTTTCTTGGCAAAGATATTACAGTAGTTTGCCATTTCCTTCTCCAGCTCATTTTATAGATGAGGAAACTGAGGCAAATAGACTTAAGTGACTTGCCCAGGATCACACATCTAGGAAGTGTCTGAACCTGGATTCGAACTCAGGAAGATGAGTCTTCCTGACTCCAGGCCTGGCCCTCTATGACATGGAAGCCCAGAGAAATGGCTTGGTTTTGACTTGCCCAAGGTCATGCAGCTAGTTAGTAGCAGATCTGGGGCACGGGCCCTACTGTCCAGATTCTCTGCCCAGTTGTCTTTCTGCTGCATCACATTTCCTAGTCCTTTAATTTTTTTTTTTTGTGGAGAAAAGGTAGTCCTTATGCTTTCCTACGTGTCTGGGGCCCAGTGTTATTTCAGAAAACATACACACAGCCTATTGTTACAAGTTAAACTTGATTTAGGTAATCCTGGTAGGGACAAAGGGGTTTCTATGTTTTGGAGAGAAGCAAAAAAAAAAAAATCAAACCAGGGGCTCTTAGGCTGCAGTTTATTTAGCTTTAAATATGTGTGTGTGTGTGTGTGTGTGTGTGTGTGTGTGTGTGTGTCCTTAAATAGTTGGCTTTTTTTTCCTTAGGTGGAAAAAGAATTAATTTACTATGTTCATGATGGAAGTGAAGAACGACTTGACAGTTTTACAGTCTTTGTGAATAACACAGAACTTGGGAAACAGAGTTTGTCCCAAACTCTCTTTGTGGCGGTTCAACCAGTAAATGATGAGGCTCCAGTCATAGTAGCCAATAACATATTGCGGGTAAGTATGCCACGCTTTTGATTTTTTAATATAAACACTAGGGCTCCTAACTTAGTTTTCTTTGTAAACATTTATTAATAGCTAACATGACTTGGGAACATGTGTAGTTGTCATAAAAACAGTAATATCAGTCTGTAAATATTTCCTGAGTCCTAATACCTGTGGAGACGCATAGCTAGCCACTGTGGGAGAGGCAGAAAAGTAGAAGACATAGTCCCTGCTATCAAGGGGATGACAGCCTAGTAAGAGAGTGACAGATTACAACAGAAGAAAAAGGTAAGTGATTACTGGTAAAGAAAATGTGTGTTGTACTCCAAGTATTTGAAAGCAAGAGAAATGACTGCCTTTTGACTGGGTGGTCGGGGCAGGCTTCATGGATGAAGTAGGATTTGAGTTTTGCCTTGAAAGATGGATAGAATTCAGAGAGAAAAAGGGAATAACATAAGAAAATGCACTAGGTAGGAGAATGAAGGGCAGCTAGGTGGTGCAGTGGTTAGAGCACTGGGCCTAGAGTCAGGAAGACCTGAGTTCTTCCTGGCCTCAGACATTTACTAGCAGTGTGACCCAGGGCAAGTCACTTAACGCTGTTTGCCTCAGTTTCCTCATCTGTAAAATGAGCTGGAGAAGGAAATGGCAAACCATTCCAGTATCTTTGCCAAGAAAACCCCAAATGGGGTATGAAGAGTTGAACACAACTGAAACAAATGAACAGTAACAACAAAAGAACAAACAACATGAAAAGTATGTTCAGGGATAAATAGCAATAAATCAATTTGACTGGTACAGAGGGTTTTTATAGAAAAGTATGAGAAAGGGGCAGCTGGTGGTGAAGGAGATAGAGGACCAGTCCTGGACTTGGGAGGACCAGAGTTCAAATGTGGCCTTAGAGATTTGACATTGACTGGCAAGTCACCTAGCCCCATTGCCTAGCAAAAAAACAAACAAACAAAAAAGAAAAGTATGAGAAAGAAACATTGAAAAGGACAGTTGGGACCAGATTGTTCAGGAGACATAGGATCTTAGAGGTTGTGATAGGACGTATCTAGGAGGTTTCCCTCTCCCCATAAAACGTGAATTAGGCTATTTCTCCTGAAAGGCAACAAAGCTATCCCTGGGACTTGATTATTTCTGGGGGTTAAGGAAGATTCGAAAGCTGTATCTCCCTTGATGATGCTTCCTATTGGCTTTTGGCCATATCAGCACGACTTCCTGGTTACCTAAAGGCATAAAAACTCCACCCACATGGAGTCAGGGCCCTTCGGATTTAGTGGAGGATTTAGTGGACGTATCTCCTTGTCGCCCACACTCATTTCCATGTGAAAGCAAATGGGGCTACATTTACAGAAACTAAGCACTGCAGTATCCCCTGTTGGATATCCTTTCTGTGTTTTGGGTAGGTCAGCCTCTTTTTGTTAGAATTGTTGAATGAGTGTCCTCTTTCATTCCAACTCCAAACTTAAACTGAGTACTAGTTCAAGTCAGGCCTGCCCAATACAGTGCTGGAAGGGATTTTAGAGGTCCTCGAATTCAGTGCTTCTACTTTTTGAAACAGAAAGGTAAATCAACATTCCAAAGGCTATACAGGAGTGCTGAACAGACACAGAACTAGACCTAGGGTGTGCTGGAGTTCCAACCAGTTTGTGAAAGCCGGTTATTAAATTTTCAGTACATGCATTTACACCTCAAAAATTGGCAAATGCTGGTGGTTAAAATTTACCAGCACACTTCTCATTAGAACTCAGATCCTGTGACTTCTCACAGGATCTTTTGCCCTATCTTACTGTTCATGAGTGTCAGGCCAAGGAATTTGGACTTTTTTCTATGATCAGTAATTTTTCTGCCATAAGAATCTACAAATTCTACCTGTCTCTGAAAAATGGTTAGAATAATGTAGGGCTTTAAAAACTAGCCCTTTTGGGGCAGCTAGGTGTGCAACGGATAGAGCACTAGCCCTGGAGTAGGAGGATCTGAGTTCAAATATGGCCTCAGATACTTCCTAGCTGTGTGATCCTGGGCAAGTCACTTAATCCCAATTGCTTCACCATCACCACCCCCAGGGAGAAAACCCAACTAATCCTTTTATAGTTGAGTTCTTAACCTGGAGTGTGTCAGGTTTCAGGGCATCTGTGATCTTGCATGGAAAAACAACTTGATTTTCATTAACCACTAACTAAAATTTAGCATTTCCTTCAACTATTAAAAAATATTCTTCTGAGAAGGGGTCCATAGGCTTCAGCAGACTGCCACAGGATCCACATAAAGGGTAGGAACCCTTGTTTTACAGTGTGCAGCATGGCAGTTAAGAAGCTTTCCTCTCTTCCCTTCTTCCCCTTCCCAGTGTCAGGTCCTTGCTTCCTTCCTTCCTGCCCTCTCCCTCCCTTTTCCCCACCTCCCCACTCTGCTATCTTTGTCCTTGTCTGCCTGAGAGAAGGCCTTTTTCTTCAGTACTTTTTTATAGACAAATCTCACTGTCCATCTGTTTTCTTTAAAATTGTATTCACAGCACTTTCGTTTCTGAGGTTTGCTCTTCAAGTTGTACTTTGAGGGAAATCAAAGACAGACTTTTGTGGTCAGTGGCCAACTCTTGCCAAAAGCTGTGAAGATAGCCTTCGGTGTTGTCTTAGAATTCATTGGGTCTTGCATAATATATAGGTGGTGTGTGCAGATGAGTCTAGCATGTGTATTTTCCTTTATGTCACAGGTAAGTCAGCTCCTATGTATGCATGCACATGGTTTTGTCAGTTACTTTCTGGTAAGATGCTAATCTCCCACATGGCTCAGCATGCTATCTTACCCACTCCCCACCAGCATGTGATGGAGGATTACAAGCTAGGCTCCTGAAGCCCATAATCAGGAAGGTTAAAAAGCTCCTAGAGATAATAGACTGTATCTCAGATAGCTTTTGGAGTGACAATTTTAAGTGATCTGAGCTAATGCATTCATCCCATAACACAACCAATCAATATTTGACTGCATTTAATGGTGTTAAGTATAAATATTAAAGGGAGTAGGAATTGACCTGCAATGGGTCTTGAATGGGATTGCAGCAAAGTTTGGGGTTTGCTCTTGTTTATTTCCTGAAATTAGGGATAGGAAAAGGGACTGGATCTATGATTCCATTGCTTTAGGGATCTCTTAGTAAGGAAATTCCCTCTGTCAATGGAAGTCAGCATCTTTTCCAAAACTTAGAGCTACCTGTCAAACATAGCATTAGGCCAGCAACTAACCAGATTAAAATGTAATTGGGAAATAGTTAACAAAATAAAAACATAATACATTTGTTGTTGTTGTTTTGTTTTTCATTTGTGTCTGACTTTGTGACCCCATTTGAAGTTTTCTTGGCAGAGATGCTAGAGTGGTTTGCCATTTCCTTCTCCAGCTCATTTTACAGATGAGGAAACTGAGGCAGAGTTTTATCTGGTTCGGGGGCCCACTCACAAGTGACAGGACAGTGAGTTTGCCACCTCTGCTCTTTCATCATCTAGTCTATTTATTTTAAATGTAAATATAAGTGTGCGTGTTTCTAAGTTAGGTCGTATAGTAATTTCATAGCAATGCAGTGTAGCTGATAGAGTGTTGGACTTAGAGTCAGGAAGGCCTGAATGTGAATGCTGCTTTAGACACTTAATAGTTGTGTAACTGTAGCCGAGTCACTCAGCTTCTCTGAGACTCCGTTTTCTTATGAGGGGTAGTCCGTAAGGTATCCCTTCACACTCTGAATCTATGATCCATGTTTGTATCTTGTATATTGTAATTTCTTTCTTTCTTTCTTTCTTTTTTTTTTTGTGAGGCAGTTGGGGCAAAGTGACTTGCCCAGAGTCACGCAGCTAGTAGGTGTTATGTGTCTGCGGCTGGATTTGAACTCAGGTCCTCTTGACTCCAGGGCCGGTGCTCTATCCACTGCGCCACCTAGCTGCCCCTTAGATTGTAATTTCTATGAGAGCAGGGACTTCATGTCTCCCCCGGTGCCTAGCACAGTGCTCTGCATATAGGAGGTAGTTAGTTAATATTGGAAGGAATGAATCATGCTTTGGAGTAGTTTTTAAAGTGTGGAGGAGGGGCATCAATGCAGCTCTGCTCAGATGGTCTCAGTCTTCTCAGGGAAGAAGGAAGCTGGGTCATCTGCTTTGAGGGAGGTGGAGACTTAAGACTGGACAGACAGCTTTTGAGCCTGAACCTCTGGCTGCTTGTTGGAGATGAGGAGGGAATCTGTACTTTGAGTAGGGGGTTGGGAAGGTGACCTATTTATGATCCCTTCTAACACCATGATTCTGTCATCCTGGGTTGGAAAGAAGCTGGATAATGATTATTTTATGTCAACTTTCAGCTGGTCTGGGGGAAATTAATCAGACTTGTCATAAGCTTGTTGCTAGAACCACTTGGAGATTTTAAGTGAAAAAATGATGGATTATGTCCCTTTCCTGAAGCCAAGTAATACTTTGTACCTCTCTTATAGCCTTTACTGTCTTCTTGTCAAGGGCAGCATGGTGAAGAATGCTGGGCCTGGAATCAGGAAGATTCATCTTCCTGAGTTCAAATCTGATCTCAGGCACTTACTAGCTGTATGACCCTGGGCAAGTCACATAAATGCCTCAGTTTCCTCATCTGTCAGATGAGCCGGAGAAGGAAATGGCAAACTGCTCCTATATCTTTGCTAAGAAAATCCAAAATGGGGTCACACATAGGAACAGGGGCAGCTAGGTGGTGCAGTGAATAGAGCACCGGCCCTGGAGTCAGGAGGACCTGAGTTCAAATCCAGCCTCAGACATGTAACACTATCTGTGTGACTCTGGGCAAGTCACTTAACCCCAATTGCCTCACCAAAAATAAACAAAAAAACCCCCAATAAAACCCCAAACCAAGCAAATAGTAAAAAATGACTGAACTACAACAACAAAAATCGTAGACAGTGGTGGAATAAATTAAAATTCCATTCTACTAAAATGCTCCTATGTCAAAGCTTTTGGACTTTTTACGAAGTGAATACTTTTGTGCCCAAG